ATATTTTGTATTGTTCATAATACATATATGTTCTCTTCTTCAGTTTTACACAAATAGTAGCACAATTTGCATTCCATTCCATTGCATGGCTTGCCCTTGTCACTTAAAAATGTATCTTGGAGCTCAGTGCCTACTGAGTGCATACAGGTGCACAAAGCTACTCCCTATAGCCTTTCCCATGACTGGGTAGTGTTCGATTATGCAAATCCACCATAAATCATTTAGGCCATCCCCTAGTGGTGGACAGCTAGGCCGTTTCTCATCTTTGGAGGCACAGAAAACGCTTCGGTGAACAGCCTTATACATGCAGAAGAGTCTTCTACATGCCGAGGTGAAAGAAACTTCTAGAGACAGGTTTGCTGGCTAGAGGCAGTGTTGAGATTTTGCCCAATCACCTCCAGAGGAGCTGGGTCCGATGAATCCCCTTGCTACTTGTACCACTGTCAACTCTGCCCCGGCTCCGCAGGCTTGAGCAGTGGCGGGGGGGGGGGGGGGGGTAGGTGCCGCCTCAGTGACATTTCCAGGTACACTTCTCTCATCAGAGCGAGAATCGACCTTTTTCACATGTCCTTGGTCTTAGAGCACTGTGTGCTCCCTTTTTGTGAATAGCTTGTTCATATCTTTTGTCCAGATTTCTATTGGGTTGTTTATTTTTCTTAATGATTTATGTATTTTTAATTGAATTTATTGGGGTGCCTTTTATAGGTTTCAGGTGTACATACAATTCATCATCTGTATATTGTTTTGTGTGTTCATCACCCTAAGTCAGGTCTCCTTCCGTCACCATTTATCCCTCTTCTGCCTCCCCACCCCCTTTTCCCTCTGGTAATCACCGTACTATTGTCTATGAGGGGATTTTTTACTTAATCCCTTCACCTTTTATACCTGGCCCCTCATCCCCCTCCCCCTGACAGCTGTTGTCTGTATCTATGAGTCTGTTCCTATTTTGTTTATTAGATTCCATAAGTGAAATCATATGGTATTTATCTTTCTCTGACTGGCTTATTTCACTTAGTACAATACTCTCCAGGTCCATCCTTACTGTCCATCCAAAAAGTAAGATTTTTTTTTCTTTTTTACATCCAAGTAGTATTCCATTGTGTAAATGTACCACAGTTTTTTGTTTTTTTAATCTACTGATCTTCTGGTGGACACTTTGGCTGCTTCCAAATAACACTGCAATGAAATAGGGGTGCATATATTCTTTTGAAGTAGTGTTTTGAGTTTCTTTGGCTAAATTCCCAGAAGTGGAATCACTGGGTCATAAGGCAATTTCATTTTTAATGCTTTGAAGTAACTCCATACTGCTTTCTATTCTGCATCCCCTTAATTATTTGTAGGAACTCTTTATTTGCCAAGAAGATCAATCCTTTGCTATGGCTTGACTATTTTTGGTCTTTTGTGGGAAGGCTTCTTACAGAAGGTGAATTAGGCATCTCTCATCCAAGCTATGAGACTCCTGAATGAATGATGGATACGTGGTTGAATGAATGAGTGAATGAATGCATGAACAAGTTTGTTCTGCTCAGCTTGTCAGTTAGCTAAGTAGACAAACCAGAAGGCCTGTGTCAGTCATGAGCAAATTGATAATGTGACTGAGATCCCACGGAGCTGAGTAGCTGCCCACCTGAGCTAAGGTTCCCAAGATGGGTCCAGAGCCCCCTGGAGCCCCCTTTTCCTCACCCTCCCACACAGTCCCCTCTTCCCTGGGCAGACCTGAAGGTCTGCCTGAGAGCCACGGGGCAGGAGAACAAGCCTGCCTCTCCAATTACAGAATTCATCTCTCTTGTCGGCCTGTCAGAACAGAGAATTTATTGCCTCATTCACTTTGAACAAAACCTGTTTCTGGAGATTTTTATGATGGAGGAGTAAGGAAAGGAGTAAAGTGAGGGAGGAAGTGTCGATGGGAGGGATGTGGCCCAGAATATATAATCTCGCAGGGAAGTGTTTCGGCAAGAGGCCAAGTGTGGGCCCTGAGCATCTCTAGCTCCCCTGGCAGCCTCGTTCCGGGTGGGTGGAGAGTCACCTGTCAACGTCTGCAAGGAAGAGGTTGGTCTTCATCCCACAGAAAACAAGGGGCTCAGTCCCCCCTCAAGCCCTAGAGCTCTGATCGCCCTGTCCCTGTCACTCTGTGTCCTCCCCACTCAGCCCAACTCCAGGCTGCCCACTCCGCTCCCTCCTGAAGGCACTCCCTCCGCAGGCTCTGCCAGGCTCCTCCACATGTGTGCCGGGCAGAAACAAGGCCCAGAGCTGCTCACCT